ATCAGCAGAATAAATATCAGGAAAAGAATTATTAGGTGACATTGAAGAGAAATGAGCAGTAATTGAAGACATATGGTTACAACAACCAGAATCGAAATACTAAGGTTTGGTACCCGGAGCAGTAGATAAGGCAGTAGGAGCATTAAAAAGATTTAATATCACCTGTTTTAGGGATTCAAGGTTGACATTAGGTTGTTCTATCACTTCTTTGGCAACCATAGCAGTAGCAGGATAAGTTACAATCCTTTCAAAACTCATCATAGAATCAGTAAACTCACAATACTGAAAAACTCTAAAAATATGGAGAAATAGATGCCAAGATCGAAATAACAAACCAACAAAATACCTCAGAAAGGGTTTGAGAATCGAGGATAAACAATCCAATCTGTATGAGAAGAGATCCCAATGACAAAGTGTCAGATCTGGAATGGAATTGAAAATCCAACTCCAAAAAAAAAACCAACAGCGACGATAAGAGAAAAGAACAAAGAGCTTATAGCTCTGATACCATGTTAGAAACTGAAAAGAAGGAGAAATATCTGAAGAAAGGTTTATTTCTTTCTTGAATTATATTGTATGTACAATGACCTATATATAGGTGTTTACAAAGAGAATATTCTAAGGTATAAAGTATACAAAGAGAATATTCTAAAGTATAAAATATTTATAATAATTCTAAATATAATTATGTTCACATCTTAACAATCCCAACGTCCGTTTGCCTTTGTGGCCGTCTCCTTAGGCTGCTAGAGATGGGATCAAAAGTATTTGGAACTACGCTGATTTCATCAAGGTAAACTATCAATTCATCCAAGACGTACTCTTTTTTCATTTTTTTTAGATTTTACAGTTCAAGATTTAAGGTGAAACTCTAACAATTCTATATCTCGCAGGTTAGCGATGAAGAGGTGGCCTTCCTCACCAGTGGAGATCCTCAAAATGAAGATGTGGTTTTATCTTTGTGGAGCAACAATCTCAAGTTGCTTGTTGTCACGGATGGAGAAAAGGGCTGTAGATACTTCACTAAGGTATTCATATATATATATATATATATATAAGAAAAAGTGGTTATCAACCTTATCTCTTAAAAATTATGAGAAAAATCATCTTAAAATTACGTTGTTTCAATAAATTTTTATTGAAAAAGACTAAATTACCATATTTTTAAAGCATTCATTAAGGTAATTTTTGTTTCTTTTTCCTCCTAATTTTTTGAAAATTTCTTTTATATATACTCATTTTAATTGTTGACAAAAATGAGAAAAAAAAAAAGTTTAACTAAACTAAACTCGTGGTTTTGCAGAATTTCAAAGGAAAGGTGGAGGGTTTCTCAGTGAAAACGGTTGATACGACGGGTGCTGGTGATGCATTCGTGGGTGCATTTTTGGTTGCAGTGGCCAAAGATCTGAGTATATTCAATGTAACACCATCTTCTCTTTTCTCCAATTTTTCTTATTTTATTTTAAAAGAATTTAATTAACTTATGCATGATATGATATGATGTGATACAGGATGAAGGGAAGCTGAAGGAAGCTCTGGTGTTTGCAAATGCTTGTGGAGCAATTTGTACCACTCAGAAAGGAGCAATTCCGGCGCTCCCAACAAATGCACAGGCCATGGAACTAGTCAAGTCCAAGTCCAAATAAATCATATTTCCTCACTGCTTGGCTTCCTAAGAATGATCATCTTTTTCAATTTTATAGTATCTTGAATTAATGTTATTTTTAGATTTCAAGTTGTGAATAATATCAATAAACACTTAAATTTTTCTCCTTTTTTTTTTTTTTTCAAATAGATGCAAGCTACATTTTCTTTTTGAATCTTCTTTTTTCTTTTTCTCATTCAATTTTGTAACCAGAACCTAATCCTGTTATACAGGAGGTTAGTTACACCAAATTATGAATCTGATTACATGACAAATTCTACAGCTGACAACAATACTTGCAGTCAAAGTAATATTACAAGCTCATGGCTCTTGATGAATCCTTTGTTTCACCCTCCTGTAACTCCCCCGCAACATTTTCCTGAAGCACAAGTCAGTTCCAGGATTATTACTTAGAATCCTATCGATTTTTGATAAAATAAAGTATGCCAAAAGTTTGTGTAGATCTAATTTTTCTAATTTCTCCAATGGTCATTGTTCTCTGCAAACCTTATAATATTCAGAATGGATACTAAAATGGGATTATTGTCATCAATGCACTTGCAGCACTTCTGATTATGATCAAAAGAGATGGAGGAGAAATGCCAATATAAATGCATACACAGATTTGCACTCCTTTTCTAATTACAGGGAAAGTTTGTCATACCGTTGATGACTTCAAGTTTATTTCTCCAAGATAGCGCTCCAATGCACCATCTCCATGAAGAATCTTCCCTCCACAACCAGGGGCATTTTCTGAGCCCACCGATTCTTCATCTACCACAACAGCATCTATTTTATTACTTCCTATCTTAGCATCTGGAATCTGAAATGCACAAGCATAAGAATTGTTAATTACAAAGCAGTATATAGACTGGAGAAATGCATGTGCTTGCTAAGTATTTTACGACATTAATTAGGGGAAGTACCTCATACATGGCTTCCATTAGAATATTTTCTAGTAAGGATCTTAAACCCCTTGCACCCGTATTTTTAGCCATTGCCTTTTTGGCAATCAGTCTCAATGCTTTCTCTGTAAAATGTAGCTTCACCTGAAATTTGGACAGAATCAGATATTATGAAGACAGTGACTCACTGATGTTATTTTTGCCTTTTGCTAGAGATGGAAAGCTCCAGAGGGAGAAGCAATGTACTTACATCATTCATGCTAAATAACTTCTTGTATTGCTTACCAAGAGCATTTTTTGGTTCAGTGAGCACCTGCAATGGAAAACAAAAATTGCAAAAATTAGATCAGACACGTATGAAAATGAAATAAAACCATAGCCTTGTCCCTGCTGGATAACAACACCTCCATTTGCAAAGTCAGATAACTTTCACACAAAACAAGGCATATGTATAATAGAAACCATTAAGATGAGATGCAGGCACAGGCAGTCCTTTTTCATGCAATCAACTTTAATGAACAGTAAGGAAACATGAGCATACCAGAAGGGCCTTGCACTTTTCCAATCATGAATACTGGCTTCATACACAACTCTTAACTATCCAACACTTTATCCATAAACACTAAGGAAAGAAGGGAAATGACATAACAGCCAAAGCCAACGGATTGACAGCATAACTAACAGAAGAACTGAATAAAACACTACCTGAACAAGTTGATCCTCTGTCAGGGCTAACAAACTGACTAATATTGGAAAACGACCAATAAATTCTGGTATGAGGCCATATGCAATAAGATCGGAACTTTCAACCTGAAACGTAAATGTCATGACCAGACTTTTATCAGGGAAAACTTGGGCCACCCTTTCCATGAGGTTGTCAGAAGCTATTTACAAAAGAAATTGCATTAATTATCATTTAGGATAAAGAATTCACATGCTCATTTTAGTACTTCTATTGGTCTTCATTCTCACCGATTCAAGCAAGGATGATGTCACTGCAGAACTGGTTACCCCACCAGCTCTCATGTTAGCCCGAACAGGTGCTCCAAAACCAATTGAAGAATCTTGCCGTCTGATAAACATCACGGATTATTAAACTGCTGTCAAACATAACAAAATGCAGACACAAATGTATATATTTGATATATTTCAGCAAAGCAACATCTTGAGAAAGCCTTACCTCTCGGAGATAGTTTTGTCAAGATCAATAAACGCCCCACCACATATAAAAAGGATATCTTTGGTATCTATCTGCAGAATATATAAATCTCATTTAGAAGATAGCTAACTCAATATAACAACCACATATACACTAAAGCAAAACTAGGTGTTCCTGGCCTTAATAAATTGGAGTGTTTTCTAAAGGGAAATTACTATAATCATTATAGGCTATCAATTCCATGATTGGTCACTGAACTGAGGTTCGGTATCACTTTAGAGTCTAGATATTTTCCCCCTAATAGTTCAAGGAACTATGAAATTCTTATCAAAAGTGCATTTTGCCAACCTGCAGAACACCTATAGTAAAGTACAGAACATATAGATCATTGCTTCCATGGTCTATGCAAGAAACAACATCCTCCAATTGCTGAGAAGGCCATGCACAATACGAAGCAGCAATGATCGTCATATGAATATATTAGCAAGTGAGATTGTAAATGAAATGGAATACCTGTATGTTATCACCCCGAGGATGCTTCCTTGCCCCTTTCTCAGGAACATTCACAATCTAGGAAAAGAAATTTCCATAGATCATAAAATAGGTCAATTTACTTCTTCAAATTAGAAAATTAAATTAAATGATGACCAAAGAAGATATTGATAAAAGTGAAGAGGGGGGGAGAACCTTGGAAAAAACCTTGGTTACATGACCCCATGACTAAACTATGTATGAAGCCTTCAATCACTGTGCTTCTTATGGTAGACCCAGACAACCTAAATCATTCCTTTCAATGACACTAGCTGAGAGTTTTCTGGGAAAGGTAATTCTTAAACTGTTTATTTTTATACCAAGTCAAAAAGAGGATGACATAATTGATCAACAGAACCAGCATCTCAGAAGTTCAATACAAGAAATCTACTTAGAGGACATCAGATTAGAACATAAAATGGTAAGCAGCATACAGTTAATAAACTACTCACAGTTCCCTCCAACATCTTCAACAATGCCTGTTGAACACCCTCCCCAGAAACATCTCTGCTGATGTTTAAGCTCTCAGCCTGCAAAAAGGCTTTGACATTTAATCAAATATTTTGGTTAAAGAACAAACTACAAATAAGTAATATAATCAACAAACTGAAAAATCACAGAACCTTCTTAGTTATCTTGTCAACTTCATCAATATAAACAATTCCTTGTTGAGCTGCTTGTACATTGGAATCAGCTACCTGAGTTCCATATCAGAAAGCATAAATACATCAATTTACTGATAAATCACAAGGTAAGCAGAAGATGAAAATTTTAAGATTTGACATGAAGTTAAAAATTATGTAAATGAGTTGATTAGAAGATAAATACTTGTCACAAAAGCAAAGATAAGCTCAAATATAATGTGAGCAATCAAAGTAGAACAAGAACAAAATTTTGTGTTATATGAAACAAGCTACAATCCTGGAATGGGTTAAAGTCCAGGTGGTGGACCCTTGTTGGTGGCAGATGACTGGATTTGAAACATGTCTTTATGCTTACTCATCAAACTATAGCAATTTGAATCTGAATGAATAAATGAATGAAATAATGATAATAATAGAGTTGCTGGTCAAACCATGCAGAGCATGAAGCAATACCGTGAGCAGTTTGTACAATATTGATTCAACATCCTCACCCACATAACCGGCCTGCAAAAGGAAGTATTTGCCAACTCTTAGTAGTACAGACAACAATTTTAAAAGTTCAGCCTTAGAAGGGTTGCACCATCATGATTCAGGAATCTTAAAGGTATAGTGCAAAAGTAAACAATACATTGACTTCAGGTCCAATACCTAACACATTAAAAATAAAACAAGTCAATTGTAACTAGTTTCCAGTTCCTTTTACTTGACAAGATGTGATTATAGACTGGAAGATGAAATCGAGCACCACTAGAATCAACTACAATTTCATAAAGGAAAAAAGAAAAAGGAAAAAAAAAAAAGTAACTAGAAGATATATTTTCATCCATTTCCCATTTCAAGTTTATGTATGGATCAATCACTTGCCTGCGTCAAAGTTGTTGCATCAGCAATGGCAAAGGGCACATTCACAAACCGAGCCAGTGACTTTGCAAGTAAAGTCTTCCCTATTTACAGTAATAAGTCAGAAAGGCAACCCAAAATTCCAAACTCAGAAGATTAATGCAAAGGCAACAATATAAGCAACATGGTGGACACAAGTTGGACAAATTAAGATACTAAAACTTTTACCTGAGCCAGTTGGGCCCATCAAGAGGACATTGCTCTTTTCTAACTCCACATTATCGTCATCATCAATTGTTGCTGAACTTCCTGATTCTGCTCCTGACCTAGGATTAAAATTCATCACCTCAGTAAAAACATAATTGACATGAACTAATTCCATAATTTAAAGGAGCCAAGAAGACTGCAAAGAGAAAAGGTGGTCAAACTAAGCTAACCCTTTTTGCAAGGAGGCATGATATATTCTTTTGTAATGGTTATAAACAGCCACAGAAAGCACCTGAAAAATGATAAGACAATCTAAGTCAGGAGATGCAACCAGAAATACAATGATTTGACAACCAAAAGGATAATCTTTGAGTATAAGCATTAGCAAGTTAAGTTCTTTCAGAGAAAAGTGGGTACTTAAAAACGTTGGAGGTAGCTATACACCTTTTTGGCTCTCTCTTGGCCAATTACAAACTTGTCAAGGCCCTTGCAAATTTCCTTTGGCGTAGGAAAATCCTTTCCCAAATTAGCCCCGCCCCACCATCCGCCACTCTTCTCCCCTCCACCATTACCACCACCACTTGAGCCTCCACCTTCCCTCGGCCCTGATGCCCGTATCACATTAACACCAGGAGTAAAAGGCGGACCAGGCGGGGTGTGAACGGCCAGCCCGTTCCCCGTAGATGGCGGTGGAAAATTCTCAGACGGGCCAGTCCCGTGGGATCTCAAAGTGTTCAAAAACGAGAGCTTCAGCCTATTAGCAGGACTAATACTAGCATAGATAGAATCCAGTTCACCACCATTATTCGTATTCTTGTTATATTTACTGTCATTACTATGATGAATGAGCCGGCCAATCTCGACGAAGGTACCCTGCAGAGGGGAAGTCCGGTGGGGACGGAAGTGATAGGCCGTTTTGCAATTGGGGCAGAAATTAACCGCCCCATAATTATTAGAGCCGCCGCCGTTATTCTGATCGGCGAAATTATCAGAAATTTCAGGGACAGTCGCCGGAGGATACAAATTAGAGCGATTGGAGAAAAGCAGATCAATTTGCTTGAAACACCGAGGGCAATTTGCCTCCGCCCTGATCTTCCGCGTGATGTTTCTGAAATCCCGAGAAGGGATATTCCCATTTCCATTATTGTCGTCCCCGCCGCCGATGTCCCACTTGTAGCGCTCTTGAATCCCGATGAGGGACTCCTTCCGACGGTGGGATCCGATATTCAAGTAATTGAAATGGGTGGAGATGAAGCGCGAATTGTGGTGGGTAGATGAAGCCAGGAGGGGAAGGCCTTTGAGCTTCCTCCATCTCCAAATTCCAGACATATATAAATACAGGATGAATCAAAAGAACAAGGAATCAAATTTCGAAGAAAAGGAAAGAAAAGGATTGAAATTGTGAAGTGGGAAGTGGGGATTGAGAGTAATAAATAATGAATACTAGCTAAGAAGAAGAAGGAGGAACCAGAAATGCGAGAAAGAAGAAGCCATGGACATGGAAATATGAAGGAGAAGATGAAAAATGCGTTTGTAGTAGATGACACGGAAAGAAAGGATTTGAGTAATTTTCTTGCTTTGATTGCTTTGTATTTGTAATAACTCCAACTTCGCCCCAAAACCAATTTATTTTTTTCAATTTCACCCATGAAGTTATGAGTCTGTTTGATTAAAGGCCAAATTTATTAAGGAAGTTTTTATTAAAAAAAGGTTTAAAAGGTGTTATATAGAAAGTTTATAAGTTTTTTAATGAAATTTTTTTAGATTTTTGTTATATTTAATAAAAAATTAATTTAAAAAATTAATTAAAAATTATCAACTGAAACCCATATGGGGTAGAAAAATATAGAGGAAATTTTTTTTCTTTAAAATTTTTGAAAGTAAAAATTTATTAATTAGAAATTATATGAAAAATTAAAAAATAAAAATATTATTTTTATTTTATTATAATATTAATATATAAAAATAAATAAATAACTTATAAAAGAAATTTAGAATGAAAATTTTCCCCCAAATGAGAAGGGGATGTTGGGTTTGGTTTAGACCTAACAATGTCTCTGGTAATGGGCAATCACTTGCTCCATAGCATAAAAAGGAGCAGTGAATGTAAAATTTAACCCAAAAATGCATGTAACTTCATGAGGATTGTGATACTAGTAATGTTTGTAAGCTTTGTTATTTTATTTTAAATTTGGCCAAATAATGTAATTGTCTAAATTTATATGCACAAAAGTAAAACTTGTAATTTTAAAATTGTAAAACCTCAACAATTGAATCTTTAACTAATTAATTTAAGACTTAATTGGTATATAATATTAGTTTTATAGTATAATTATGTTAGATTTTACATGAAATAAAGAAGCTAGCTAGTGCTAACACATTAAAAGAACATCACCATCCTCAAAACTTCAATTTCCTTATTTGGGAGATAACAGTCAAAATAGAAAGTCATGGCAATCCAAGAAGAAGGGAATAAAGTGAACAATTTAATTAATTCAGTGATTATCTTCTTTCGTTAAAAATAAAATATCTTGAATTCGAGTCGCATAGCATGAAAGTAAGATGAGATAATGAATGAGAGACGATTACCTCTTATTATGCAATTAAGATAAAAAGAAGAAGAAGAAGAAGAAGAAAAAGGGAAGAATAAAAGGGAACCGGGCAAAAACTGAAATTGCGATTATCTACCGTAACTTCGCTTCCTCGCCTACTTAATTGGATATTTCAGGTCGGGCAAATGTATAGAATGGCAATATTTTTAATGTTTTCCTCCAATTTTCTTTCTTTTTAATCTCACTTAACTTTGTATGGAGGGGAGTAGAAGGGAATTGCATCTTTTTATTTTTCTCTATTCTCCTTCTTTTCTTCCTTCATATTTAAATAAGTAAAGAAATTTAAAAAATAAAATAAAATAAAATTTTCTCCTTCTATAGCCTCTAATTTTTTTGACAACTAAATATAAATTTTTTTTTTTTCACTTCTCTCCCATACATTTTCCTCAATCCAAACATAAACATACTTTCAATGAGACTGGTTTTGAGAGAAATACCTTACTACAATTAAAATCAAAATATTTCTCCCAAGACAATTAAAATCATTATTAGATAGATGGATCGTCCATTTTAAGAATTTTATTAATTTTTGACAATTTCTAACTCATGTTAAAAAACAATTGGGTATAAGTTTAATCACAATAATATACTTATAATATCACATATAATTATAATTTTTATAATAATAATATATCATTAAATAAGTGAAGGAGAAGCTATATACATAATGTTTACTATGTAATATTGTGTACAATATAATGTGATAGTTGAGAGTAATGTATATAATTAATTTTTTTTAATTATATATTTAAGAATTCACTTATGATCTTATGTCTTTTTATTTAATATTTAATATTATGTTATACAATACATAACATGACATTACATCGTATGTATAACATTTACTTAATAAACAGATATGACATAATGAATAAATTCTCATATAAAAAAATTAATTATATAATAACACGATATAATTATAAAAATATAATATTATATAATATTATAAATATAAATTGATACAAACAATAATTTCTTAATACTACAATGAAATCTTACCATTTTAGTTGGTAGTTAGGGTATAATTTGAGTATAGTATATATTGGAATAAAGTAAATATGCATCACTGATGTCATATAATTAGCTAGTATTTATTAAAATATTGCGATTTAAGTGTGAATCAAACGCAGACATTCAAATAATTTTTTGTGCTTAATCACTCTTAAAAGTTAAAGAAGGTTCAAGAATTTCATGGGGTGTAAGCTTTCAAAGCTCCTGCAGTCCTGCTTTGGCTTCACTGCTCTTAAGCTTTGTAGTTTCCTGCTCTCCTCCATCAATGGCAACCTGCCTTGAACCCTTGATTTTGTCTGGAGACAATTTGGCCAACGACAGAGTCAACACTCCATCCTCCAGCTTAGCCTTGACTGAATCCAAATCCACATTGTCCGGTGACCTGAACCGTCTCCAGAACTTGCCATAGGATCTCTCCAGCCGGTGCCAGTGATTACCTTTCTTCTCCTCCTCCTCCCTCTTCCTCTCTCCGCTCACTCTCAGCACCCTGTTCTCTTCCACCTCAATCTTCAGCTCCTCCTTCTTCAACCCCGGTACGTCCAGCATGATCACGTGACCCTCCGGTGTTTCCTTCCAGTCGACCCTGGCCGGAGAGAGCGCCACACTCTCATCCCTCTCTAGTGCTAGCGGGACCTGCTCCAGGACTCGGAATGGGTCTGGGAAGTGATCCTGCCAGAAATCAGACAACAGGCTGCCTGGACGATCAATGAAGGGCAGCAACAAAGACCCATTTGAAGACACAGGAAAACATAGCAAAACCATGAGTAGCAATGGCAAGAAGGTGAACACAGAGGAATGCTGCCTCATTTTCTCTCTTGCTTCTTTCTGAATTGGTTTTACTTAATTATCCAGATCTCTCTGAGATTTTGGTCGCTTTGATCTCTGTGTAATCTGCCACAAATGTGGGGTTTATATATATGAAAGAAATTTCAAAGGGGAAAATTTTATTGTAGAGAAATGGGGAATGTTCTAGCTGCCACTTTGTTCATCTGTGAGAGTGAATATGGTGATGCGGTACTCTTCTTTAATTTTCTAGGGCTCTTTCTTCTTCTTTTTTTGGCTAGACATTTTCTAGAGGCTTCATGTCTTTTATTTTATTTATTTTTATTTTTTTTTTTCTGGAGGCTTCATTCATGCATGATTATTGGTTCTGTTTCATTTAGGCTTTAGGGTTATTCAAAAAACAATTGGTACGGAACGGCCGGCTCCGATCCAGTGACGTTGAACTCTAAGTTAAGGTTGTTCACTTATGATGAGTTATATATTTGAGATCCAGGAATTATTTTTTCCTCTCTTCCAATTAATTTGTAAATAATTACAAATTATTCAAAAAAACAAAAAACAACTGGGACCCAAATTAAGTCCTAAATTCTATGGACCAGCAGTCCAGTACTACTAGAGTCATTAAAAATGTCAAGATTGCGAGACCTCAACTTCTAAATCGTCAACAACTACTTTCGTCTCATCGGCGATTTAACTCTGTTCGTTAAACATTACACCAAGGATTCAAAGGTATAGATATAGTTTGGTGTGGATATATTTGTGGACCACTCAAAAGGCTTTGGTATTTATAAGGCTTTAAATTGGAAATGGGCACAAGAAAGGATAAACAGAAGAAGAATGGCCAGGGGATGGGGAGGTTTCAAGTAACATCTCCTTTTGCCCATTTCACTGACAAGGTGGTGGATGCTTTATCTGCCCATATATAGGCACATCCCCTGTTTCTGTGGTCCAGTCTATACCTGCAACTTGTCCTTATAATTGATTATCACCACGACCTAATTAACTTATTCACAGATATAGGTTCATTAAGTATATGGTTACAGCTAAATATTTAGGATTCACAGTTGCTAAGTAATTGCCAAGGACCTAATGCCAAACAGAAGAGCATGATGGGAAGAAGATATAATTGGGTCCCGAAGATTTAAAGGTTAAAAGGGTTTACTCCACAATCAGAGATGTCTCTTGGTAGGTATCCATGTACATTATTGAATACAGGATGAAGATGTGACATATATAGGACATTGGCAATGGCTGCCAAAAACTGAGAAGAAGAAGAAGAAGAAGAAAAATGGAAACTTGAGATCCTAAATTTAATTAATCAGTCATTGAGAAGGAACAATGAAAATACAGTGTGAGGTGTGTGAGAAAGCAGAGGCAGAGATTTTGTGCTTTGCAGATGAAGCAGTTATATGTAGAGAATGTGATGAAAAGGTCCATGCAGCCAACAAGCTCTCCTCCAAACATCAACGTGTCTGTCTGCTCAAACACTCCCCATCTTCTTCTTCTTCTTCTTCCTCGTCTTCTCATCTTCCTCTGTGCGACATATGCAAGGTATGTGACTTGATCTAGTTCTTACGAAATTTCTCATAACCAAAAATATAAAATTCTTCTACTATCATGTAGGAAAAGAATGGATGTTTCTTTTGCTTGGAGGACAGGGCAATACTTTGCAGGCAATGCGAGGTCTCCACACACAAGGCTAGTCCTCCCTTCCTTTCATCCCATCAACGATTCCTAATTGCAGGGATAAAAGTTTCCCTTCAGTCTTCGATCAATGGCCCCGACCTAAGTAGTACTAGTCTAAGAAGAGAAAATTGTCAGAGCTTCAGAGACTTAATGTTTACTGAAATATCAGCTACCTCTAGCACTGAAGCTAATATGGAGACGACGGGACCCTGTTGGCCTTTGAATGAGATCCTCGGTGCTCATGATTTTTGCTATGATTTCTCTGATATGGAGTCATCCAAGGCTACCGGCAATGGCAGTTTTTCTTGATCCTCCTTGATCAATTGCTTATTTAGTTATTCCAAGTGTCTTTGACAATCTTGTTCGTCTTTGTCCTGTAAAATCTGTAGGTGTGAGGCACCAAATCATTTGTAATAATAGTCCTTAACTTCCATAAATTTCTTCATGGTAGCTTTCTTTACATTTATGGGGATGACAATGAGACGAGGGTGACAAAAGTTGAACCAACTTCGACCTAATCGGTTAGTTTAAAATGGGTCTTCAAAAACCACCCACAACTTGCTTATTTTGGTCTCAAAAACACAGGAGAATAGATCACCATTTTCGTCCCTTTCACTTTCCTTTTCTGTCACTAATCCTTGCAAGCCTGCTAACTCTGCTTCACAATCCAAAGTTGGAGAAGTGTCACCCAAAGCAGAGGAGCTGGATAACATGGTGCTCGAGCACTGCTCCAATGCCAAAACATGATCCATTGTATAATCTGTAGACAAGGGTAGTCCAGATTTTTTTTCTTAATAGTTTGCAGTTCTCGTTGAAGTTGTGAAGCCCTTGGTTTTGCTGTGAGGCTCTCTTAAGAATCTCGCAGGCAAAAAGCTCTTGCAGGCATTGTTAAGTCGAAGAACATGTTGAGAAGTGTCCCAACTGCTTCGGAAAATTTGCAGTATACTTGAAAGCTTTCGTTCAATGTGTTGTTCATGGCTGCTACAGCCAGGTTGTCTGAAGGAAAAATATCAAACGATGAGCAATCCAGTACTTCGTCTATAAAAGCTTGAAATATAGGTAATTTTTGAAATACCAGATCAAGGACTGACTTCCCCGGAAGGATCCGAATTCCAAGCCTATGGACATCACTGGTTCAAGTTTTCCGGCTTGGTTAAAGACCCACCTGATTCTCTCTTCTAGAAAAGCTACATAGTTGTGTAGGAAGCAAAGGGAAGGATTGGAACTCCTCTGGAAAGAGTGGTAGCTCATTTGGAGATGACCAGAAACACGCGAACTATGGAGCTCTTGCTTAAATCAGCGATTGCCCCAACTGAGGAGACGGTGAATCAGCAGCAGAGTCCTGAGAGCTACCACACGGTGTCTTATCTTGCAAAGATGACGAGGAATCCTTTCAGCCAGAAAAGGGGTAGATCCTGGGGAGTTCGACACCAGGAAGAGGATCTCGCGCATGTGCTTGTCCTGTACAGGGCCATTGTCATGGCCAGTTGCACGTAAAGCAGCAGTCTCTATGTCAGAAAAGCCTTGCCCATCATGATTGTATATCATGGCCTTGCTGATGGAAGCATGATCCTTTACTGAGCCAAGAGTTAGGCGTAGCTTGCTCTGGATGTCAGCCACCATTTTCAGATTAGTAGCAAAAGGAAGCCAATGTCTGTGGATCAAACCTTGACGTAAGAAAGGCATATATAGATACACGGGTGGGATAGAACATACATCTGAAAAATAAACCAGCAACGAGGGAATCAAAAATTGAATTTAATAAATGTCAAAAAAAATAAAATAAAATAAATAAACTGGCCAGAATGTTCTAATGTAAAATTAAAATGTTCCCTTGCTCAACCATGCCTTGGTACCGCATTGAGTGCTGGACACAACGTTAAAGTCAAGATGCATGGACGGTAAAAAAATGTTCTAAAGCAGCCTGCAAATGAAAGCCCTACTGTGGTTTTGAAGTTATTCTTAATCAGATCCCTTCAAAGGAGACCCAAAAAAATGAAACAATTTTGAGTTTGATGAACATGTACACCATTTGTACCATACCCAAGAAAAATACAAGTATCAATAACAGTTCATAAATCTTTGTTTCTAGTACTTCCCATATAAGAGGTGACCACAGCATGTCATTTGGGCAAACAAGAACAAAAATGTGTGGTTATTGGCCACACCAATAAGAGCCTTGATTCTCTTCTGTTCAGTATAGATTGGAGTTCAAAAACCAAATGAGAAAGAGTGCCTTAGAAGGCACTTAACTTTTTTGGTTTGGATATAAATGAATAAACTATAAACTCCAAGAGTCAACAAGGCAGAAAGGCTTATGTGGTGGCGGAAAAGAACCTCATTCTTCAGTAATAGGATGCTTCTACATCAAACTCTCTTATCATTCACAACATCACGGTACATTAACATTTTTTACTTTTGAAATTTGCTTTTTGCATGGCCATGGATACCTCATCAATCATCATCATGGACCTTTCTCTTTCTTTCACCCTTTGCACTGCCACAGAAAGTAGAATGGTTGTTCATATTCTATACCAGCAATAATTTAATGTCAATATTTGAAATAAAATATCCAACTTCATAGAGAAAAGAATTAAAATGAACAAATCTCACAATGTACAAATTTCCTTGCCATTGGATGCTATGGCAAATTGACCATGGAGTGCCATTTAAAATAACAATAATAATAAATGATGGCAAAATAATGAATTAAATAAATAGCACTGTCTTCATTGTTTTTACTTTTTAGTCCCATCAGATCAACTACATGCATTCTTGGTGTTAAAAGTGTTGGAGTTGTGGTGTTCAAGCTGCCAAAGTAGCAGCAAATGGAAGGACGTGAGAGCTGCAACATGATTACAGAGTAGCAGCAAAGTGACAGCACAATGGAGCTTCACATGCGCTACAAGAAATGGCAGTAAATCTTTGAATGTAATCTTTTGTTTTAAATGCTTAATATTTTCTTGTATTGGGTAAAATGTTAGGTGAGAAAAAAATTGTTTTTTATTGTATTGTTTCTGCTATAAATGTAGTAAAATATCAATGATATCTTTGAGTTGGAGTGATATACTCCTCTCCATTTTATGTGCTCTGCTCTTCATCTTCTACCGATGTTCTCTCCTTTTTTTTTTTTCTTTCTTTGCTTTAAAAAACCCAACAAAAAGATCTTTTGGAACTCTGGCTGATGGGACAGTTTCTAAATTCAAGATGAGAGGATTGTTCTGGAAGATATTCTCCAACTCAAGTAGGACAATTTCCCAGGTCAAATACCCACTTGTTACAGAGATTGAATCAAATTTTAGCAAATGGTTCTGCATTCTCATTTTTCTGCTTATAAAGGGACAATTCAAAAAGCCAAATAGAGAAGTAACCCTCCCTAGCTCACAATCATTGTGTTAAATGTGAGCAAGTAAAAATTTTATTGTAAAATAACACTATTGTGTGGAAATGCAGTGCTAACTTAGGTCAAATGGACACTAGTCACACTGTTATTAAAGTCCCCTTAGAAAAATCAAATGGCAACTAGGTTAATGATTATCAACTGGCAATTTAGAGATATCTCAGTATCTTTTGACAGCCATTTCAATTAAAAAATATCATTTTGTAACCTGATTCCTCTTGGTGGAAAACTCCAATGAAATAAGGAACAAACACACAGAACTATTGAAATTTAAAAATTAATTATCAAATTAGACTATTTTGATTGGATATCTGCGATAAGATCTCCAATCAGACAAGTCTTTACTGACCTCACAAATGACAGATTTCTGCAATCAATATTAGATGCCAAAAAGAGAAAAAAAATACAACTAAACCACCACTAAAAAAGGCTCTCCTAGTTATTGACAAGGAATGGAAAAAGTCATTTTGGATTTCAGGTTGCAAAGAAGAATAGTGTTTTATTGTACCTGGAAAAATCACCATTAAATGTTCTACTTGAGAGGCTTCATACCCTGAGAAAATAAAAAGGAGAAAAGTCTTAAATCTTCTAATTTCCTTTTTGTTATCTACGGAAACAGAAAACTAAGACATTAAAAAAATGTAACAGAAGTTGGACCTCTTAGAAGACTGTCATATTGCAAAAACAGATAACTGGAATTCAATGTCATGAAGAAATCTTTCATGATGGCAAGTTAATAGCCAAAACACTAGAGATGATAAATTAATAACTATACATATGAAATCATGAAATGAAAGATTTAAGAAGTCAAAATAATGAGGGCCAAAAAAGTCCTAAAAATAAAAAAGAAGAAATATATAAAGCAATAATTTAATAGCAAATTTACAAGTAGCAATATCTTAAAATCACTGGTGCTATTTAACTCTTTCCTGTTCAAAGCAACAAAGCAGCTATAGTACACCTCACAACAATATTTGGACATTCTCCAAAGAACTCACATAGAAATCAACTTTAATAACTTTCAAAATTCAAAGGACTATTTATAAACATTTAATATTAAAATTTAAATTACAAAAATCCCATGAAGTATGATGTTAAATATTCTCCCTTAGTATTAAGAAAATAATTATACACACTCACCTCATGGTAAAGCAATGCCAATTAATAACTGTAAATATTTTAGTGACTGTTTAACTTTTCATGCATGGAACATTTTCAGTGATGTAAGTGCACATTCCTCTAAATCTGAGGGAGAGTATATTTTATACCAATATTAGAGGCCTATTTTGTAATTCACCCACTGCTAATCCTAAGTGAATTAGGATTAAACTAAGATATATTAACCCAATACTTTTCTGCTTTATACAAAGATACGACTTTGAATGACTCTTATAAATGTAAAAGCTGTCTTTAATATTATAAGCAAAATCCTGGCATTTTATTCGTTTATTTGAAAGTTACTAGACAACGAGTTTTCCAATGTTGGTCAGCATGTATACAACACAGTTGCTCTCATAACTGTTAGGTGTTCTACCTTGGAAGCCCTCAGCTCATTCACTGCCATTCGAAGAGAATCATCTGATAGTATCAACCGTGAAAGTGCCCCAGTACTTAATCTGAAAATTTCAACTCAAACCAATAAGTTTGGGTGATGGCAACATACAAAGCAACTCATCCATTGAACAGTTATACGCTAAATTTCATCCTAAATCCCTAATATAACATACCCCAGCAACTTGGCTGCTTCAGATACAGAACCTTCAACAGAAAATATTAAATCCAGCAAAGCTTGCATGCCCTGTTGTGGAAAATAAATGGTATGATCTCAAAAAAGGTAGCCTAAATGACCAGATACATAGAAAGACAATTCCCCGTTCTTCCGATTGTCAATGGAAAAGATAAAGAATAAAGGTCTACATACCAACACAAATTTAGGATTTTTGGGACCAATTTGTGGACCACACTCTGATCCCCTAATTGTTGATGCCGGAGGAAGAATGCGAAGAAGCTCTAGAGGAGGTGAATATGAATCAAGATCCACTTTGTTCCTGACTAGCTCGAAACAGTAACAAGATAAATGTCAGCTAAGACAGAATGCCATTTCCTCCTTACTCAGTAAATAGACTGAGTGGAAATGAAATTGCACAATTACAAAACTTAATGTGAGTGGCATTTAGGATTAATAAACTTCAAATTTTGCAAATGTAAACTTTTGGGTACAACAATTGTCATCAGAATATAAAAATGATGAGATCACACAATGCATAATGCAATTCGTTTGGCAGATAAAAGGAGAGCAAAGCAATGAAATACCTTTGAGAGCTAATTGAGTGCGGAGGCGAGCTAGGGCAGATGCACGATTCATATGCTGGGATCGATCCTCAACAGCCTACAAGAATGGAGCACAATTTTACGGTATTTTTTTGTGAAAAACGAAAACTTTTTAACTTCCAATCAAATTGAAAAGACTTAAGAACTGACCTGAGCAATAACACCAGTGGGGAGGTGCTTGATACGGACGGCGGACTCGCGCTTGTTGCGGTGCTGGCCACCAGGTCCCGAAGCCTTGAACGTATCCATTTCGCACTGTCTCATCAGTTCCTGGTCCGACAATTTTAAGTAATCAGCGGCCCTAACTTCACCGGCACTAGAACTGTAATTGCTACAATATAGCATTCCTCCTCCTCCTCCTCCTCCTCCTCCTATATGAAGGACCAAATTCTGCCTGCTCCATGTTATCGCCGACGAAGAACGAGCAGATGGAATTGGAGTAGAAATTGATAACGACGATGCCTTAAAAAAATTATTGCTTGTAATGCTGATTTTATGAAGAAGATGAATCGATTTGATCAGGAACGGAGTCGTTGTCGACATTTTTATCGGCCTGAATTTTGCGTATTAAGGACAGACCTCTTCGCCGGCGTTTTGAGGGATTGTTTCCTGAAGAAGAACTATACCAGAGTACAGGGACTAAATTAGCCCAAAAAAAAAGTTTTGTGGCTAAATTGAAAATGGGTTTTTTAAATTAAGAGTACAATAAATAATGCCTTTTCATAATTAATTTCTATTAAAAATATAAATGTTAATTTGCACTGCAGCTTAGCGCCCGATGGCTTTAAGCAAGGTTTTTAAAATCGGATCGGTTATTGAACCGTTTTTAGGTTCAGTTCTTGATTTAACCGGTTTAACTAATTAAACCATTGAACTGGTCAGTCCAAATAGCAAAGAAGATTTGATGAGAAGAGCAAGCTGCAGGCATGGATTTTCTAATTTGGTGTTGATAATTTTATAATTTTGTTAAAATTAAAGGTTAAAATAGGTATAAAAAAGGAATGGGAAAAGTGAAATTGAAAAAAATTGAAAGAAGATTGCATGAGAAATCGAACCGGTGAATTTTTTGGTTTTATCGGTTCTATCGGTTTTCATTGGTTTTCATTGGTTTTTATCGGTTTTTATCAATTTTTGACCGATTTTGACATTAAACAGTTTTCTTATGTAAACCAAACTATTTTCATCACCGGATACCAGTCCGATCAGTTTAACCGACCGATCTGATCCGGTTTTAAAAACCTTGGCTTTAAACTTACTTGAGAAGTGCATCTCGTGTTGGGGTTCGAACCCACCCCCATTCAAAAAGTATATATATAAATATTAATTTTAATTTAATTAATTAATTATAATTATTTATATATTAAATTATTGATAATGTTAAAATATATATTAATTTTATAATTTTTTATATAAATTAATTAAAAAATATATTTATTATACATTTAATTTACATAGATGCAGTTTAAACAAACCTATTAAAAAGAGTTTAAGGGGTAATTTACAGGTTAATAACTGTTTTAAAAACCGAACCGGACCGTCTGGTTCACCAAAAATTGGCCGGGTCACCGATTTTTGTTGCAGGAGAATAGCAGCACTGCACCTGTGCAACTGCTAAAGCAGTTGAAAAGTTTCCATTTTTCACTTCCATATGATCAAAATGACAAAGGATGATGCGTTTTTAGTAACAGGATGCAATTTCAGTGATTGCATAAGAATGGTTTGCTCTGGAACTTCATAAACACGTAACAAATATGCTAAATGATATATGGAAATGAAGAAGATTAGCGATTCTATCAAGTAAATTAGAGTTGCTGTTGGCAGTTCCTCAACAGTCAACAACACACCCTAATTTTGTACCGAGGGCACACAAGCTTCGATTTTGGCTTGGCAGTAGGCAGTGTAATGGTCTTCTGATGTTCATCAATTCACAAGCTCTAAGTTCCACAATGCATTTAAATACATACTTGTTGATATGGTGTGCTAGAGGTGATTCTGTGATAGCAATTTGCAATAAAGTTACTAAGCAAATGCACAACCAGCTAATGAAATTTTGACAACTAATTAGTGGTCAAAAGAAATTGAAAAAATAACAAAAACCTGATAATGAGTTACACGAGTATATATTGTAAGCTAACACTTGATTTTCAGAGGATTAAATTTGAATGCTCAAGCCTTCCATAATTTCATGGTGCAATCTTCACTGTATGTGGCAACAAGATTTCTGTGAGGATGATGAGTAATGCCAATCACATCCTTTTCATGAACCTGTCAATGATGCAAAGAAAAAGAAAAGACATTAGACATTCACATTCAGAAAACTTGAAAAAATTCCTCAAAGTTGCCTATTTATCTACAGCACTGTCATCCATGCTTGCGAAGTTCAGCTTTAAATCCAGGTTCCCACACAGGAAACCTAGCTGGAACAACATCATACTCTTATTGTACAACTTGAAAAAGATGTGCTTCTCAATATTTTCCCAACTTCTCAACATAGAACTCTTTATAACAAATTAAGCTTAAAGTGTAAAATTAGAAACAACTTGGTCTCTGACAAATGCTTACCGTCATTAGATGCTCCAGTTTACCAGTTTGGTGGCTGAAGCAATACATGTTCCTGCAGACATTAATTGAGTTAGACAATAGGATAGGGAAAAACCATTAACAGTAAACAAGAATCTCAAATAATGAAAAAAATGACAATAAAAGCACATTCCCTAGAAAAAAAGTACTCTTTATCATTTAAATTAAAACACAAACAACCAAATTAATGCATTAATCAATGAGTTAATGGCACTCTTTATCATTCTATCAGTGATTCTGTGAATGCAATTTGCAATTGGTTAGTTGTCATTTGGAGAGTAAGCCAAAAACTTAATGTTTCTTGACATGAGTGTAATTTGAGTTGGGTAAACAACTGTAGGGTCGAATAAGACCATATTCAAGACTTGAAAAAATAAATTATTAGTGTAACTGGGGCAGCCACACAGTTATTGTTAATGTAGCCTCACTCTTTTATCATAAAATAAGCCTTAATCTTTTAGAATTCAAATTCAGACTCTAGCAAAATAAAAATTGTATATATTTTTTTGTGAAAGAATGTTATATTACCTGTCTTCACCAACACAGTATATCCATTCACCTTTTGGTGAGACACAGGCTGCAACAAAATCTCCACCCTCTTTCTTACCAGATGAGAAACTTTTCACAACCTGCACCATGATCATTAGAATCAGATTCTAATCACGATTCACTTTGTCCATTCATTCCATAGACCACAAGAAGATTAAGAGCGAAAAGGAATTTACTTAAATACAAGTAAAACTACCGATATATAGTACAGAAGAACAACTATTATTCTATGCACATTACTTAAGTCACCAAGGATTTTAAAGACTTTGTGAAGAAGCCAAGAATTTAAGTTTCAACTTTCAAAAGTTCAAAATTCAGTGGCTGTGGCTCCCTTAGAGAATCTATAGTTTTATATCACAACATGATAGTTTGTTATAGGTAAAGCTCAATCTTGTAGAACTAAATTTAGCCAGGGACAAAAGTTGTGGAAAAAATGAAAAATCAAAATGTAGCCATTGCACTAAAAACTTGCAGTGACATAAAGTTGATAGGATGGTACTTGAGATGCTGGTAGCAATGCCAAGGAGATTATGATGGCAACTAAATTAGCAATGGATGTGGCAGCATAAAGAAAGGAGTTGGGAAAAATAAAAAACTTATAAAGGTCTGATGCCAAGGCACTGGAATCAAAGTGTTAAGGACTTGGAATTTATGAGTCCCAGGTCATGGTAAAGATTCCTTACCATAAGTTTATAAAAACTTCTCTGCTTGGGGATTTAGAATTCCAATAATATTAGACATGAAAACATTGAATTATGAATTTCTTAAGAATTCACAACTGACACTTCAGTCCCCATTAAGAGAAAGCCATTAAAGAAACCTTACTAGGTTCCCAAAAGGAAGAAATAAATTTGAATTGAAAATGAAGGAAACTCATTCTGAAAAAGCCAATTATTAACATGTTAAAATTTAGTTTATCCTTATACCATGATAAAGAAGAAAGACAGGTGAATACCCAAACAACAAAATTGTGTGAACTTTTGTCCAGATATAGGGAAAAGTGAAAACAATATAACAGCTTACAATCTGGGAACAATTTACCTGCCCTTGAAGCGTCATGATGTATATTGCTGATGTCTTATTGCATACAATAATATGATCTGTGTTTTTAGGGAAAAGATGAACTGAATTCACCGAAGCATCACCTCCCTACAAATCAAAATGTTGAAAGAAAAGGTAAAAAATTAGGACATGCAGAAACAAAATGTCACAAGAAATGCATGTTTTGTAGGGAATGGAATACCCTTAAAGGAGGTGGTGGCTTGAATGTTTGTAAGCAGTCTGTTGTCTTTACATCCCAGACCTGTGACAGGTAAACCAAGATCATATTATGCATAGAAGGAAATACTAACAAGACCAAAAAGTTAAAGTACATATCTCATCTGACCTACCTTGACTGTGCAATCACTAGAGGCAGTAATAACACGACTTCCATCAGCTGTAAAGATGGCATTATTAACATATGATGTGTGGCCACGAAACTCTTTCAACATCTTTCCAGATTTTAATCCATGAATTCTGTAAAAATAAGGGTTAAAATCCAACAAAAAAAAAAAAAAAGTCATAATTTGCATCTGACATTGCTTTTTTTTTTTTTTTGCCATCTTGCTAAAATTAGAGTGGAAATCTTTAGCATTGAAAGCAGCCATGAATGGACATGGAAACTAGAAAGTTTTCAAATTATAAAGGAAAAAATATTGCAGAAACAACAGCAACAAAAAGTTTTGTGTAAAGTATAAACTCTGCAACACTATAAAACATACACAAAAGGGGGTCATACCTTGCTGTATTATCAAAAGAAGTGCTCAGTAACTGGCTCCCATCACGAGAGAAGGCTAAACTAGTGACACCTTGAGAGTGTGCGCGTTCAAGACGGCGTAAGCATTGACCAGTTCTTATACGCCAAACCTGAGAGCATTGTGAATATTAGAACTTAGAAGTTTCTGACACATGCCAGTATTAAACTTCCAATTGGAAATTTATAGCATTAGATTTCAACATGGGACCACAACATTGAGCTGAGCCAGAGCAGTGTAAAAACTTCAACATGCTTCAAGAAAAGTTCTTGGCTTAGAAAATAGCCATCATGGATCAGATGAAACTAAGTATGTCCATAAGCAAGCAGCATCAAGCACACTCAACAGAAACCGAAAATTTTTTGCTTTTTTGAAAAAAGAAAAAAGAAAAAGAAAAAAAGATATCTGAATCTCAATAGCAACACAATCACATAAAAAACATATTGTTCCTATGCCTGATGTTATTCTTGTAATAGTAGCTATAGTGAATACTTGATTCAAAAAAAAAAAAAAACCTGTATATTCCTTTTATATGACCAAGCAAGCAACATTATATGAGGGAGATCGAAGGTTCAATGTCAGAGTTGCTACTGTCCCTGCCATGCATGTTTTAGCATGTGGAGTGTTATTGAACCTTCATAGTGAACTTATCAAGAGTTGATGAGTTTTCAGAAAAGGAGGGTACACTTTTAATTTTGAATAAAAAATTCATAAGCACCCTATACACCATACAAATCATAGTTTGCAGTCCATCCAAGTCTTGAAGAAATGCCAAAAGCTCTTTTAACTAATTGGCATTA